TCGGACAAACGGCCGGCTCCGGGAATGTACATCGAATGTGCAGAGGGGCGGACGGACGGACGGGTAGGGATTCGGGAGCGGACGGATATGCCGGCGACAAGAAAACAAACACTTGAGAATGCCGAGTAGCATTCATGATTTCCAACAAATACTATATAGTTGTCTGAAACGTGAATCATGGTCTCTGTACCGCCCGCTCTTGGGATTCTTTTTCCATCATAAAAGGTTCACAAATTCCTTATTCAGGTAGTACTGGGGACGCATATCTACTGAGCGACCCACCATGTGTGTTACACCGGTATTGTATAACAAACTTCAAACACTAAAACTGACAAAGCTTCATTGTCGGTGGCCCGCTGTACAGTACCCGAGGATATCTGAAATAAAAACACCACCCTCGAGAAATGATTCAATAGTTAGTTTGAATTAACCCCTCTCATACACTTCTATCGAGCCCATCATAATCTTGGTGTTTCTAATACCAAGCGCTATTCAGGAACTAAATTTAAATATAGGTACCTCTCGGGCTGTCTAACAGTTAAACTCAATAATACGCTTTCCGGTGGTTAGAACCACTCGCTTCGTTCTGCCGGACCCAAGGCCCAACCAGCGTCGTCCGGGTACTTCGCGAGACTGCCTATATCATATCCCGAACCTCTAGTCCGCTCGCAATCTCCATGATCAGTTTCCTAACCCTAGCCCTACGGCCCACGACCATATTAGCTTCCACTTTGGCTAGCGCTCTTTGAGTTATCTACAGATTCTTATTTTCTATGTGGTGACTGTGGTGTACACCTGTTGCCTCCCGCCTGTTGCATACGCGTGCCCTATATTTCCAAACCTTTGCGCAAGGGCCTCTGAGAAGAATTGTGGCATTGCCCTAGCATGGCAAGTAACGGAGCACTCCCGCGTGGTAGACGCTTAACAACTCATGGGCCATCGCAAGATCTAATACTGTATGTGGTATTACTCCTCAGGACTCTACGGACGGGGGATATTCAGGAGATTTAGCCGAGCGAGTAGTGTACGTTTTTCGCGTGTTTGAAAGCAAGCGACCCAATGGAGAGCGAGGAGGGATTGTGAGCGAAATATATTCGTCTTTCCAGTGTACTTGAGTTACCCCGCAATCTTGGACCATTTTTCTGCTACATAGCATAATGTTTTTCCTTAGATTGTCGTTTATTAGTGTATTTTATGTTGTGTGTGACATAATGCGCCCGTCGCTGACTAATTACAAAGTTCATAACCCACCGGGGGTACCAAATTGTGAGATCCTAGTGGTCATAGTCGCCGATTTTCATTAGTAAAAGAGATCCCTGGTCTCCAAGAGATGGTCCTGTCGTTCTAGGAACTAGCTCCTTGTGTCAGGGTTCGTCGAGGCTGGGGCCGATGCTACAAATACGGGTACTGTAGCCACCGTACGGAAGAATAAGTGGAGAACCAGCTGGTTAGGGACGCTCTTCTGTGTGTGAACTTGGACTAGAACGCTGCTTTTATGTTATAAACAGGCAAGTTTGTGGGTAGAGAAAAAAATGTTCGGCGGGTAGGAGAAATACTCATGAGAGGTTCATAATATTCACCGACCGTACCCGAGTACTGCTAGCCTGTATGAAATCATCCACAGCCAATAAGCCACTGTGTTCATACTGTTTACTCTAGTACAGGCTTAAGTTCATACTAATTCACACTAATTCATTAACATACAAGTTCAACTTTAGCCAGGTTCCTAGTCTGAGCATGAGTTGACTTGTTTTCCAAATCGTATTTGAGTATAATACTCGGAAGCTGTGACCGTGGCAACATGATCAAGCCAAGTCGATGACTGCTCACGGAACTTCCCCGCTTTTCCTCTCAGCCTCGAGTGAAGTTGAATCAGCGCTTTCGTATCCATCGGGCTCCTTACCAGAACACTCTGCCCTTCTATTATTGTGTGCGAGATATCTCGGATTTTGTTTACATCATACCGAAGGTTTAGTCCCCGCTATTGGTTTAGATTCCACTGATATCTGACGGCGTGTTGCAGGCCAAGTAGACTCCCGGTTCCAGCGAGAGACCTTTCGGAACACCGGGAAGAGGTGGAGAAAGAAAACGGAAAGGCACTAGTCAAAGAATAAGTGTATGAGCTAAGTAAGTGTAGTCCTTGCACGGGGAGTAGTTTTGGGTTCTAACTAGTGTTTCTGGAAAAAAAACCCTAAAACTAACATTTTATAGTACCAAACATCAGAGTTCTGGTAAGAATAATTCCTGATCATGCGTACCGTACTCAAGTGCTCTAGAGAAATAAGCCAACAATTACCCCCCCAATAGGCAAGGAAATTCAGTTCCGGACGACAGCAACGACAAGTGCGGCTCAAGCCAAGAGTTCGGTTCGCTAGAGGCAGTGCAGGGGGTTCTTGAGTCGCAAAATCAGGATATCGGAATAACAATTCGGGGGTGTACTGCAGATCAGAAATCATGCGTCAGTTTGTGAAGGCAGGCGTCCAGAAGATACGGGGCCCAGATCACCGGGATAGCATAAGGAACATCAATAACCAAGGTGTGGCACTGCGGGAGCAGGGGAAGTACGTCGGAGCGGAGATATTGCACCGACAGGCATTGGTGGACGGCGAGAAAGAGCTTGGGTTAGATGATCGAGATACATTACAGAGTGCCCACAATCTTGGTGTGAGTCTGAATATTCAAGGAAAGTACGACGAAGCTGAGATCATGCATCGGCGTGCATTGGCGGGAAGAGAGAAAACGCTCGGGCGGGACCACCAAGATACTTTACTGAGTGTTAACAATCTCGGTGTGGCTCTGCACAAGCAAGGAAAGTACAACGAAGCGGAGATTATGCACCGCCGCGCCTTGATGGGCGGCGAGAAAGCGCTTGGGTTAGATCATCAATATACCTTACAGAGTGCCCACAATCTCGCTAGGACTTTGCGCAGTCAAGGAAAGTATAACGAAGCTGAGATCATGGATCGACGTGCATTGGCGGGCAGAGAGAAAACGCTGGGTCTAGAACATCAAGATACATTACAGAGTGCTCACAACCTCGGTGTGACTCTGCATTGTCAAGGAAAGTACGACGAATCTGAGGCCATGAATCGACGTGCACTGGCAGGCAGAGAGAAAGCCCTCGGGCTTGATCATCAAGACACCTTGCAGAGTGCCCACAATCTCGGTGCGACTCTGCAAGGTCAAGAAAAGTACGGCAAAGCTGAGGTCATGAATCGGCGTGCATTGGCGGGCAGAGAGAGAACGCTAGGGTTATATCATCGAGATACCTTACAGAGTGCCCACAATCTCGATGTGGCTTTGCACAAGCAAGGAAAGTACAACAAAGCTGAGATTATGCATCGCCGTGGATTGGCGGGTATGGAGAAAGCCCTCGGGTCGGATCATCAGGATACTTTACAGAGTCTCCATAGTCTCGGCACTGCACTCCATGGTCAGGAAAAATACGGTGAAGCCGAGATCATGCATCGCCGTGCATTGGCGGGCCGAGAGAAAACCCGTGGGCTGGATCATCGAGACACTTTAAATAGTGTCCATAATCTCGGTATGGCTTTGCGCAAGCAAGGAAAGTACGACGAAGCTGAGTTCATGCATCGCCGTGCCCTGGCTGGTAGAGAGAAAGCCCTCGGGCTATATCATCGAGACACCTTACAGAGTGCCGACAATCTCGGTGCCACTCTGCACAGTCAAGGAAAGTACGACGAAGCTGAGATCCTGCATCGGCGCGCATTGGTGGGTAGAGAGAAAACGCTCGGGTTGGATCATCAAGATACCTTACAGAGTGCCCACAATACCGGTGTGACTCTGCATAAGCAGAGAAAGTACCGCGAAGCTGAGGTCATGAATCGACGTGCACTGGCAGGCAGAGAGAAAACGCTCGGGTTGGATCATCAAGATACCTTAAACAGTGTCCATAATCTCGGCGCTGCGCTCCATCATCAGGAAAGGTATGGCGAAGCCGAGGTTATGCACCAACGTGCCTTGGATGGCCGAGAGAAAACCCTCGGGCTTGGGCATCGCGATACCTTACAGAGCCTTCATGATCTAGGTGCGGTGCTGCATTGTCAAGAAAAGTACAACGAGGCCGGGAATACTCACGGACCTGCCCCGACGAACAGAGAGAAGTCACGTAAGCTGTATCACCGAGATACCTTACGGAGTGTCAACAATCTCGGTACCACTCTGCGCAGCGAAGGAAGGTATGACGAGGCTGAGATTATGCATAAACGTGCCTTGGCGGGTAGAAAGAAAAGGTTCGGGCTGGGTGATCGAGATACCTTGGAGAGCATCCATGATCTAGGTATGGCACTGCATTGTCAAGAAAAGTACGCCGAGGCCAGGGATATGCATCAACGTGGATTGGAGGGCAGAGAAAAAACACTCGGGCAAGACCATCGAGATACTTTACAAAGTGTCAATAATCTCGGCACGACTCTGCGCAGTCAAGGAAAGTACGACGAGGCCGAGATAATGCATCGGCGTGCATTGGCTGGCCGAGAAAAAAAGTGCGGTCTGGATCATCAAGACACCTTAAAGAGTATGGATAATCTCGGTACAACTCTGCATAGTCAAGGAAAGTACAACGAAGCTGAGATTATGCATCGCCGCGCATTGGCAGGCCGAGAGAAAACGCTGGGACTCGGTCACCAAGATACCTTACAGAGTGTCAATAATCTCGGTACAACTCTGCGTAGTCAAGGAAAGTACAACGAAGCTGAGATTATGTGCCTACGTGCATTGGCGGGCAGAGAGAAACTTCTCGGGCCAGACCATCGAGATACCTTACAGAGTGTTAGAGATCTCGGTGTGGCACTGTATCGTCAGGGAAAGTACGACGAAGCGGAGATTATGCATCGACGTGCCTTTGCGGGCCAGGAGAAAATTCTCGGGGTAGACCATCGAGATACCTTACATTGTGCTAATCTAAGCGCGGTGTTGGATGATCCGAAAAAGCATGGCGGAGCTCAAACTGTGCATCAACACGCAACAGTAGGTGGGGGGAACGTTCTTGGACCACGCCACCCAGACGTCCTACAAGGTGTTTTCCGACTAGCTGTGACACTTCTTGCTGAGAGAAAGTATGAAGAAGCTCAGATCATGTATCAACAGGGCCTAAGGGCTATGGAACAGGCTTCGAGACAAGGTCACCCAGATGTCCTCGACAGTATTAATATGCTCGGCGAAACACTCCTTGATCTCGAAAGGTATGACGAAGCGGAGGCTATTTGTCGACGTGCATTGGCGGGTAGAGAGAAAGCCCTAGGAGTAGATAACCCATCCACCCTTACCAGTGCCGATAACCTTGGTCGAACACTGTATCACCAGAAAAAGTACGAAGAAGCGGAGAGGATGTTTCAATCTACTCAGGCGGGCAGAAAAAAATTGTTTGGCATATACCATCCGGATACCCTAATGAGCTCCCTTCGCCTAGGTGTGACGCTTCTTGGTAGGAAAAAGTATGAAGATGCTGAGATCATTTATCGACATGCCCTAGGGGTTATGGAGAATGCCTTGGGGCCCGATCATCCGGAGGTCCTCGAGAGCATGAATACGTTGGGCGAGACGCTTCTCGATCTGAAAAAGTATAGCGAAGCGGAAGCTATCTGTCGGCGTGCGCTGGTGGGTAGAGAGAAGACACTCGGACTAGATCATCGAGATACCCTACTAAGTGTCAATAATCTTGGCCTGGCACTGCGCAATCAGGAAAAGCACCAAGAAGCGGAGATTAATTATCGACGAGCATTGATGGGTGCGGAGAAGACGCTGGGGCTTGACCACCGAGATACCCTAATGTGCATGTATAATCTTGCTGGGGCATTGCACAAGCAGAGGAAGTATGATGAGGCGGAGGTGATGCATCGGCGTGCACTGGCTGGTCGAGAGAAGATTCTAGGACTAGGTCATCGATACACTCTTCGTAGCCTTATCAAGACAGGCACAGTACTGCATGAGAGGAGAAAATACGATGAAGCGGAAGTAATGTATCGACGCGCAGTTACGGAGGCAGCGAGAGCTCTGGGGCAAGACCATCCTGTCACTCTAAAAAACTTTCGCCACCTCTCGATGTTTCTCTATGCCCGGTCGACCATTACCATGGATGGAGCATCATGATGGAGATGAGGAGTTCAGGTTTACCCTTGGACGAAATCGTGCTGGCCATTTTTTCATACATCTTAAATTTCTTTCCACCTTTCATAAGATCGGGTTCCTTTCTTACCTCTTAGTGTAGGTGTTAAATAGTTCAATTCTTTTGATTTCTGCTAAATTAGCTTCGTGATCATAATTTGAGCAACTAGGGCAATGTTTTGGGAGCATTAGCATTGGAAAGACCCTTCTCAGTGTCGGCTATTTGGCTCATGTCTCTTCTAAATAGTTCTTTGGCCTTTCTTTGTTGCATATTATACCTTAGATTTGTATATTGGTTGACTGCTATCAAGGGGAGGAACGAGGGGGACGGTGGATTAATCCACCTGGGCATCGCTATCTGGCGCAAGGAAAGAGTCACAATGAACTCCACGGAGTGGGTATTTTAGCCAGGCAGCTCACTAGTGAGAAACCTTTCACAAACAATTCCGCCGAGTGGGCTTACGTAGTCCCACCGCCTGCATTCTTCTCCTGGGGTTCGCGATATGATACCACACAGTTGGAATACCCCGTTTGCGCAACACGATAGATCATTAAGTCTGAAAGCTTCTGATCCGATATCCTAATGGGGTTGTTGTGAGGAATGGTTGTCATGCTTCCCGATAACCCGAACGGAACGGTAATGGTAAGAATGCCCGTGGCTGGAATTTCTCGAAAGGAATGGACTGGAATAACGTACGGCACCGCCAAGCGGGACGGCGCACGGATGCGGGACGGCCAACTACTTCAACGCCCACGATAGTAAAAAGCATACAGGTTGTCCATTTCTGATGCTAGAAGAATGAAATACATATGAAATAAAAGCTAAAAGATAGGAGAACATAAATAAGACCATTACCAGAACATAAAACAAGATTCAAGAGAGTTACATACCAAAGGATAGGTAAAGAACTAAGAAGAACATTTCACTCCATAAAGAAGAAAAGAAACTGCTCCCACCCACACAAAGTCATCCCAAATGGCCGGTCAGGTAGCCTTGGATTGGTAGGTGTTGCTAAGGGGACAGTGGTAGGTGGTTGCCAGCGTGGTTTAGGAGGAGGAGTAGGTGAGGATGGGGTACTTTCAGTGCCTTCACTGTCGCTAATCAGAACAACTGAGTCTGGAGAGGAGAATATTGTTGGCGGAGAAGTAGTTGATTGGGCAAAGGTAACTTGGCGGCAGTAAGCCTGGTAGGAAGGCATAAAGGGGCATGTAGGTGGTTGCTGATGCTGTAAGGAGGATTTTGACTTGCGAAAAGGGGTCTGTTGACTGCAAATCTGATTATTCTTTTTATCTGCCTTTTGCCGAATGTCATAGAGAGTCATCGCCTCCAGTCCATCAATGACTCTAGCAGTTGTCATTCGCCATTTATCAACCTTTTGTGTAACATTTACAGCTTTCTTGCGGTCTTGTCTCCGCCCCTCCTCTGAAATTTCCAACGCTGCCTGAATCCCGGCACCAATTTCTCCCAAGTGAGAAATCAACTTTTTTAACTCCTCATGAGTTACTCTCCCTACTGACTGAAGAACCTTATTGGTTTCTCTTCCAAAATCTGTACTTTTAGCTGGGGTTTGAAGACTGAGGGTTTGGGAAAAGCAGTAAAGAGGTGTGTGTGAGGTAGCAGTTGAAAATTACAAGCAATCAAGAACAATCTTTGGGTAGTAAGGAATTAGGCCAGTGGAGCGAAATGCTGATTTGATGTTATCACTAGTAATTGCCTTCTCCCGTGCCTTCCTTAACAGTTGCCAGAAAACACCCTTATGTATGCCACTATTCTGTTGGCGAGAAAAGTCATCTACAGCTAAGCCATAAAAATGTTGAAGAGGACTAAAGACAGCAACATCAAGTGGCTGTAAAAGATGTGTAGAGTGGGCTGGTAGACAGAGTAAAATGATTTCATTCTCCATACAGTACATGCAGAAGTCCCAATTGATATAGGATAAAAGGCCATTGAGGATAATGAGCCGTTTACGGTCTGGTCTGGAAGGTAGTACAAAATGGTTGAAATGACATGTGATGAACTCAAATCCAAGAGTTTCATCTGTCCACCCCTTTAGTGAATAGGCTAAAAGTACATTTGGATTATCTAAACTTTTGTACCATCGCATGCAATGGCCAGCCTTTGCTTTAAAAATGAGAAATGGGGGAAGTGTAACCGGTACGGGTACTCGGTTATTGGTTTTGTTTTATGTATCGCTTTGATGCTTGGTTTGTTTTAAGCATCGTTTGATACTTGGTTTTGCTTTATGTTTTGTTTTAAGTATCGCTTTGATACTTGGTTTGTTTTAAGTATCGTTTGATACTTGGTTTTGTTTTATGTTTTGTTTTAAGTATCATTTGATACTTGGTTTTGTTTTGTTTTAAGTATCGCCTTGATACTTAAGGAGTTTTACCAAAGTGTATCAATTGATACCTTTGATTAGTTTCGTTCATGCTAGACATGAACAGATTGGTGTATTTAAAGACCGCCTGTTTCTATGATAGAAAAGGCAGACTTCGACAGACAGTATTTCAATATACTTGGTTGAACGGTTACTTCTTTGTTCCCCAGTACTCCCTCGAAGCCTCCTTCAGTTCTCAGCTCTCGCCTCCTCTCTGGTAGAGCAGGCCACCTGCTAACTATCGTATCTATTACCGATAACGTGATTAGCATCCTGCGAACACGTTAAAGGAAGAAAGGTGCTGGATGCCCGAATTGTTTCCAAATTTGTAATCAGGTCCCTTTTACCATCATGGGTAACTCAGGGATTCCTTCTCCCCACCCTTATCACAAGCTTTGTTTTGGCTGACATTCCCATCATAAATCCTTTCTCATCAAGGTTGTATATATTATCGGGAAGCATGGAATGTTGGATTTAAATTCGATTAAATTTTTGGAAATAGTCATCGATGGTTTTTGGGTCATTTGCATAGGCTTGCTGTCACTCAAGATTTCCACTCTAGCATGATGCTATATCTCTATGACTGTCTAAAAATCTGCTTAGCCAGTTTTTTCCCAAGCTATCAGTGCCTCCATGTCCTTGTATCCCTATCAATCCCTCTTTTTTCTTTCCAACCAGCATTCTCGCCATGCCTTTCACCAGGTCAAGTCGTGGAGGAAAGCCCCAGTCATCCAATCTCTTTATCTACCAAACATGTAACCGGTACGGCTGCTCGGTTATTGGTTTCGTTTTATGTTTTGTTTTAAGTATCATTTGATACTTGGTTTCGTTTTATGTTTTGTTTTAAGTATCGCTTTGATACTTCGTTTGTTTTAAGTATCATTTGATACTTGGTTTTGTTTTATGTTTTGTTTTAAGTATCGCTTTGATACTTCGTTTGTTTTAAGTATCATTTGATACTTGGTTTTGTTTTATGTTTGTTTTAAGTATTGCTTTGATACTTAAGTAGTTTCACCAAAGTGTATCGATTGATACCTTTGATTCGTTTCCTTCATACTAGACATGAACAGATTTGTGTATTTAAAGACCGCCTGTTTCTACGATAGAAGAGGCAGACTTCGACAGATAGTATTTCAATATACTTGGTTGAACGGTTACTTCTTTGTTCCTCAGTACACCCTTGAAGCCTCCTTTAGTTCTCAGCTCTCGCCTCCTCTCTGGAAGAGCAGGCCACCTGCCAACTATCGTATTCGTTACCGATAACGTGATTAGCATCTAGTGAACTCATTACAAAACAAGTGCACCCTCTTCCACAGCCATTAATAGTTGTTGATTAACATGAGCCTTCTGCCTAGACACCCGTTCTCCACTCATACAGTATGCGAGTGTGGATTGTGGCAAATCAAAGGCAACTGCTGTTGCTGAAATGGATGGATAGTTTCCTTTACGAAAGGTGGCAATTGCATTTGTGATTTGCTTTTCCTGAACATCCTGAGGGCGGTTCTTTACTCTAGGCATGATGTGATTATGAAAGAGTATCTGGATGAGGTTGGTGAGCCTTAGTACTGTGAGCGTGATGACACTGATTGTAACCGGTACGGGTACTTGGTTATTGGTTTTGTTTTATGTTTTGTTTTAAGTATCGCTTTGATACTTAAGGAGTTTTACCAAAGAGTATCAATTGATACCTTTGATTAGTTTCATTCATGCTAGACATGAACAGATTTGTGTATTTAAAGACCACCTGTTTCTATGATAGAAAAGGCAGACTTCGACAGACAGTATTTCAATATACTTGGTTGAACGGTTACTTCTTTGTTTCTCAGTACACCCTCAAAGCCTCCTTTAGTTCTCAGCTCTCGCCTCCTTTCCAGAAGAGCAGGCCACCTGCCAACTATCGTATTCTTTACCGATAACGTGATTAGCACCTTGCGAACACGTTACATTTTTTTAACCTCAGCAAGTGGTTAAGAACCTGTCCCCGGATTTAGGCCTGATCAACCTATCGATATCCACCTCAGAACTCTAGCGGAGAGAAGCGGCAGAATCACAGCACATTCGGCTTCATCTCAAACCCAAGATAGAGTCTTTGACGACCAGGAGTGGGAAGCAAATCCCACGGCAAGACCTTACAAGGAAGAAACAACCCCGGCGCTCTGTTAAAGAGCCAGGCGATCCTGCGAACACAGAAGATACACAACCTCCAGGAGAATTCCCTTCTACTCCAGCAAAGAAGCCTTCCTTTGAACCTCCAAATGACCCCGAATCTAGTAGTGAATCAGATATGGCTAGCACAGGAGGAGGGCCTTCTGGAGGAGGGAAATCTCGGGCAAGGCCTGAAGAAGAGAAGGTACCCGCAGCATTTGAACCCCCTAAGTTTAAACTCCACCTCCCAGCGAAGTTCACGGGCAAAGGGAAAGACCTCAAACCTGAAGCCTTTGAACGATGGGCAACAGAACTCTCACACTTCCTACTCTTACAAGGAAAAGATGTGGAAGATCCTACAACCGGACCTATCATTGGATCATTTTGCGAAGGAAAGGCAACCGACGCATACCACCAATGCTATAAGAATTTCGGCGGGAATGTAAGATTAAGAGGATCTAC